ACAAGCATGAGGTTCGAGTGATCTTCTATGACGTGAAGCCTGATGTGGTGAGGAAACAGACTCGGAGCTATGCACAAGCGTTTGCCAAACATGAGATTTTGAATAGAGCAGAGGTTGCTAAATGGAAAGAAGCTTTATCCATGGCTGCCAACTTATCTGGATGGGATCTCCATGACGTGGCAAATGGGTAAACTTTTTCTTTACTATAAAGATTTATATCCCTAATCAAATTAATAAGGAGCCATGTCATTTGAATTTCATTAAGTAGCTGTTTTTCTCCCAAACCATTTCATCTAGTAACTTTATTATAACTAATTCTTCACATTCGGGGTTCTTTCTGGTCAACAGGTTTGAGTCCAAATTCATTGCTAGTATCTCTAAAGAAATCCTAAAAGCATTATCTCATGAACCTTTGCATGTCGGCCAGAACCTTGTAGGGGTGGATGACCGTATAAAGAAAATGAACTTGTTACGGTTTATTCACTCAAACAAGGTTCACATGATTGGAATATGTGGTATTGGTGGAATAGGAAAGACCACTTTTGCCAAAGCCATTTATAACCTCATATATAACCACTTTGAGGAATGTAGCTTTTTGGATGATGTCCAAAGGGCCACAAAACAACATGGACTAACTCATGTCATAATGCAACTTATTAACGACATCATGAAAACAACAGATGTGAGGATACCCAGCATTGGTCAAGGAATTATGGTAATGAAACAAAGGATGGCATCTAGACGGATCCTACTTGTTGTAGATGATGTAGATCATCGTGATCAGTTAGAAGCGCTATCAGGTTCATGTGATTGGTTATCCCCAGGAAGTTTGATTATTTTCACTTGTAAAGACAAGCAATTGCTAAGGTCTCATGAAGTGGATGAAATCTATGACATGGAGTTTCTCAATTATTTTGAATCTCTTGAGCTGTTTAGTTTGTATGCTTTTCATGAAGAACATCCTACTAAAGACTTTCAAGAACTTGCTCTGCAAGTTGTGCGGTATGTGAAAGGTCACCCCCTTGCCCTCAAGGTCTTGGGATCTTTTCTTTACGGAAAAACTGTGAAGGAGTGGAAAAGCGAATTGGACGGGCTCCAAGTATATCCTAATGAAGAGATACAACGGGTGCTTTAATTAAGTTTCGATGCGTTAAGCCCTCAACAAAAAAACATCTTCCTTGATATTGCATCTTCATTCATTRGGGAAAATAAAGATGATGCAACAACTATACTAGATGGTTGTAATTATCATACAGATTCAAATATCAAAGTTCTAGTTGACAAGTCATTACTTGTCGTTTCTCGCAATGATTTGCTTGAAATGCATGACTTGATACAAAAGATGGCAAGGGAAATTGTACGCGAAGAGTCCAAAACCCTTGGGAAGCGAAGCAGGTTGTGGATTTCATCGGAGGTTTATGATGTATTGAAATTCTAATACATGACTTACAGGTCGATTTGCCTTCAAATTTCTGCTACAACAAGTTGAGGGGATTTGGATTATGTGTTGTTTTGACGCTAAAAAAGTGTTATTATGATCACTACAATTACAACAAATTACCAAGATATCATGTGAACAACTTTGATGGGACTTCTTTGCTTAACGACTATCGATTTTTTAATGTTTCCACTAAAACCCCTAAGTTAGATACCATATGGTTTGGTTTTGAGACTCTGATTTTTAGTAGAYGGAGATGGCAGAAGGCAAAGAATTTTATTACTTTTTCGATTGAACACGATGATGATTGTGAGGTAAAAGAATGTGGTTTTAGACTTGTTTTTGATAAAGATATAGAAGAAGAGACGAATTTCAGTCTCATTCAGGACCTCCCGACTCCAACACAAGAAGGAGGTGTCATCGATTGGTGGAGGAATCATCAAATTTTATATTGGTCAGGGTAGGTAGTCTGATTAACAAAGATGTATTGTCGTGATGCATATGTCAAAGCTTGGATGTCATTATTTGTAACATAATTTTGTCATTTTTCCCTCACAATTGTAATTTGTTTTCAGAATCATAACCATATAATGAAAACTGTCTTTGATTTATATTCATAATTTGTCTCAATTAACTCTTTATTTTTTTCCAAATATTTTTCAATTAATTTTCAACATGTTTGTTTAAATCATGTAACATTATAATCTAACCTAACCTATCAACTAGTTTTTTTCCAAGTATGACTCATTYATCAGCTACTTTAGTAGGCAATAGTTTGTTTTTCGGCTACTTTATCTGTAACGCCCCATTCCAAAAGAAGGGGGAGTTACTTCAAACATAATGTAACRGGTATATAAAACCTTCATAATAAAGTCTCCAATAGAATTAATACTCCAACAAAAATAATTTCAGACGTCTCCAAATAATTCAACTAAAATCAAACATAGTCTTGAAAAAAAAACGCTAGTCTAATTACAAATGAAAGAAATCAAATACTARCACAAACATCAATAAACCTCTTATAACCTCTTGCAACCCCCTTTAATTACTCGATAAATTTTGTATATTACTCGATATGGTTTTATATTACTCAATATCTTTTGGTACATATGAATTTAAGTTTTTTTTATTAAATTAATTTTTTTTTTTTGGTTTTAGGTTATTAGTTCTTTTATGATGTTGTGGTTTTTTTTGTATTAAATTAAATTCATTCTAATCGGGGACGGGGATTGAGGTCTTCGCCTCATCCCCGCCCTATTCCCACCAAATTAAATCCCCATGTTCTAGTATTTTAGTTCGATTCGATTTTCATTACTCAATCCAACTTTTTTAGATGTCATAAAGTGAATGAAATTTATGACATGCCACTTTTACCGGATTATAAAGATGTGGAGCTTTTGAGTCTGTATGCTTTTGGCAAAAACCATCCTAGAAAGGATTTCGTATCAGATATCAAATGTCCGAATATGACCTCAATCACTCTCTCAAACCCTTATCATGTCATCTGAAAATCGCATACCGACTCTTCAATAAACGGTGCATTGTACATGTGCCAACAAGCACATTGAACCAATTACCAAAACTATATTTTTTTCAATTATGATTGATTCAATGGTGGAGATCTATTATTACTTTTCTCGTTGAAATCCAACTCATATTAATTAACGAGTTTAAATAAATTAACGTCAAATCAACGTAATTTTTTAAAGTGTTTATAAAGATTTTGAAAAAGTTTGACCAACATTGGTTTCTATTTCATCTCGAAATATTGTAATTTATAATATATTAAATAATTATAAATATTTGATGCTACAACTAAAAAGACAACTCCGTTATATTTAACTAACTTTTAAATGGATCCATTAATTATGAATCGAAAAAAGGATAAGTTTCAWAGTTGAGGGACTGGAAATTAAACTTTTTCCATATAAAGGTTRCTTGAGGTCAACACGCGGCTATTTCTTTATAATTTGATGACCGCTTCCATTTTCAGACAGTCATCTCCTCTTCATTTGCAGACTTCCAATCCAACACAGAAACCGTAAGTTATCAATTACTTGTTCTTCTTTCGATTTGTTATCAGTCGGTTGAATCTTGATCAAAATATGACCAGTTTAGATGCAATTTTTTGCTGATAATGGACGGAATGAGCATTTAAACCACTCAATTGTACTTTTTATGTTGATGGAAACAATGGATCTATGAAATCCCCAATCTTTCAAGGACTTTCTACAAGTTCAATTTTGAGGTTTATTTTGAACTTGCTTCTATTCGATTGAGGTTTAATTTTGGGAGAGTTTAAATCGTGTATCAACTTTTGATCTGACCTTAGGTTCTTACTTCTATTCGATTTTCATTTCTTACTGATGTGAATAGAACTTGACCATGACAATCTTTGATACTCTTTTCACTTTTTCTTTCCGGGTTGATATTTTTCGGTCTGAATGCTCCATAATGTTTTTAAGCTGTTCTTTTGATTATAGATAATGGCTAGTACGAGTGCATCCTCTCAACATCGATGGACATATGATGTTTTTGTAAGTTTTAGAGGTGAAGATATCCGTAAAAGCTTCATGGATCATCTATTCAAAGATTTCAAACAAAAAGGAATTAAGGCTTTCAGAGATGATGACGAAAACCTGAGAGGAGAAGAGTTGCCTCCTGAACTGTACAAAGCCATTGAAGAATCATGGTTTTTGATAGTTGTCTTCTCCAAAAAATTTGCATCTTCGTCATGGTGTTTGAGGGAACTCACAAAAATCCTTGAGTGCAAGCGAGCTGGGGAGCCCAAACATGAGGTCCGAATTSTATWTTATGATGTAAAGCCTGATGTAGTGAGGAAACAAAYYGGGAGCTATGCGGAAGCCTTCATCAAACATGAAAGTTCAAATACAACCGAACAGGTTGCYAWATGGAAGGAAGCTTTAYGCGAGGCTACCGACATTATTGGTTGTGATCTCCAAGACTTTGCCAAYGGGTAGTTTTCTCTTTAGTACAATGATATATTTTCACCTTCAAATTAACCGACACCATATGTATACAATATATTTCATTATTTGTGCGGTTTTTTGGCCAACAGGTATGAGTCCAAGCTCATTGATGACATCTCCAAAGATATCCTTGATAGGACATGTAAAATTAGATCCTTGGATGTTGGTGAGAAGCTCGTAGGGGTGGATGACCAGATAGAAGAAATGAACTTGTCACGCTTCACTGGACCGGGTAAGGTGCACATGCTTGGAATATGTGGTATTAGCGGTGTAGGGAAGACAACTCTTGCCAAAGCTATTTATGACAAGATGTGTATGGACTTTAYGG